GATTCTTATTATTAGTTATGATCGATTAGATCGATTAGTTGTTGCAGCCCTAACCTGCACTTTATTTAAAACCGATAGTATTTACATATTATTGCTTTTATTTAAAATACAGAATTAAAAGATATTTTGCGGCGTAAAATAAATTTTTGGACGTCAAACCTAAAAATTGTATTTCGTGCAGCTCTTACAGCATATGGGGAGACAGTACAATTACAATAGAATACCATGCAAAAGGATTAGAAGGACCCTGCTCCTGAGAGCTTACAATCTGCAAGGCGGGTCATGTGATACAGAAGGTAATAGCTATGAGGGATGAGCTAATTGAAGAAGTAGATGTGCAGTTTTTAGGAAGAAGTGGAATAGGCTTCCCTGAACAGATGAGTTTTCAGTGACTGACTAGGATATCATCGAATCAGTTTCAGTAGGGAGTTCCAGAGGATGGGAGAAGCTCTGTAGAAGTCCTGGAGGTGAACATGGGAGGAGGTGATGGAGTTAAACAGCAGGCGATCTTGGGAGGAGAAGAGAGGATGGTTTGTATGACATTTGGAGAGAAGGATGGAGATGTAGTCGTGGTGGAGTTGTAGATGGCTTTGTATGTTAGTATTTTGAATTTTTTGCATTGTGCTATTAGAAGCCAGTGGAGGGATTAGTAGAGGAGGGTGACAGCCACTGACTGGTTGGTTAGGTGGATGAGTCTATCAGCACCATTCATGATAAATTGGAGGGATAGCCTAGTAGAGGTAGGCCAATGAGAAGGGAGTTGCAGTAGCTGAGGTGAGAGCTGACGAGACAGTGAATTAGTAACTTTGTGGTGTCATTTCTTAAGAAAGGACGAAGTTTGGAAATGGTACCGAGATTAAGATGGCAGATTTGGTCAATGATTGGATGTGGGGCCTGAAGGAGAGTTCAGAGTCTAGAATTACACCTAGGAGTCAGTAGAGCTGGCTCCCCAAAAAGTCCTGCAGGCTCCTGGATTGGACAGCCTGGCTCCTGAATTCCATGATGGGTATTTTTATGATCATGCAGTTTATTTATAATAAAACCCTTAGGATAGGCCATAATGTGTGGGCATCATCACATTAAATCCTTTACCTCACTAACGAGTCACACAGCTTGACTTGTATTTTCAAACATTGTTAACAAAAAATCCAATGCTTATAAATCACAGAGAATCAGGAAAAAGATAAGATGGGAACGTACCAGACCATCAGCGCCTACTCGCCCGCGTCCGGTTACCCGAAAGGTCACTTCCACCTCCCAATTGTTAAAGCTTGGGGCTGTTTTCGTCCAGGCAGATCCTTTCTGACTCTTCAGGGACGGGGTAATTCTGATCTGATCAGCGCTGGGAATGGCATCTAGAATGGCAAAAGTAGGCTGGGTTACCAACGAGGAAAAATCAGAGCTATAGCCAACCAGATACAATGCACTGAAAACACATGAAAGAGTCGTTTGTTTCATTAAGGCTTATGGCAGGGCATGAGAATAAAAATGGAGGTTTTAGCAAATGTGACCAATTAGAACAATTGTTTCTTTTTCCCATAAAAGTAAGGTGATACCTAATGGTCCGGCAATCACAACAATCTAATTTTCATTTAGATGAATCTGCCAAAATGAGCAAAAGTTCTGATCTTAAAGGGGAATTATGAGGCGAGTGATTTTCACTCAACCTCATAGTACGAGCCGACCTGTGACAATGAAACTGTCACGTCGGCTCAATAGAAGTGAGCGAACACATACCGTCGCTCACTCACTTCTCGATCATGTCCCAGCAGAGAGCCGTGACCGTCACTCACGGCTCCCTGCAGGGATTCCCCCCTCTGATCCTCCAGCGCTGACTGGCGGAATGGACGTGAGAGGTACAGCTGGATCTGCCTCTAGATAGGCAGAGCCAGCTGTCACTCAGGCAGCTGGGTGGATCTTGACAGTAATGTTGGGATCCGTCCCGGCTGCGACGGTAGCTTGCTATATACTGAGCTTTGGATCACGGGAGGACGCTAGTTTGTGTCCTCCCGTAACCCTTAGGAAAACTATGGGGAAAAGCACTGACCCCATAGTTCTCCTTTAATGAGTGCTTTTCACTCACCTCATAGTTCTAGCCGACCTGTGACAATGAGACTGTCACAGGTCGGCTTAGTAGATCGGGAGGTGAGCGAACACATACCGGCTGGATTCCCCCCTCCGATAGCGCTGACTGGCGGAACGGACGGGGAAGGGGGCGGGTACAGCTAGATAGGCAGAGCCAGCTGTCAGTCACGCAGCTGGGCGGATCCCGGCACAATTGTCGGGATCCGCTTCAGCCGTGGCGTCTCAGTATACCGCGAGCTACAGCTCGAGGTATACTGAGCCTAGGGTGACGGGAGGACGCTGGTTTGTGTCCTCCCGTTACCCTAAGGAGAACTATGGGGAAATGCCTTAACCCCATAGTTCTCCTTTAAGTTCCCTCCGCAGCCATTTCCAGAGAGCTTCACTGACAGTGAGGTGTGAGGCTCCATGGTGGCAACCAAGGAAGATCTCCTCATCTGACTGCCCCAAAGATTTACATGACCGTGCAGATTTCTCCCCAAACTGCATTTTGTTCTTTTATTATATCCAGCCAAAACTTTCTCAGTTTTGGATAGAGTGAGGAACCAGTCAGATTTATACTGTAAATCAGGGCTTTAATTCATCAGCAGGAAGTGAGGAAAGTATGTGTTTGAGGATCATCATTTTATACCCCCTTTCTCACCGGGGCGGTTCGGTCGCGCGGATCCGCCGACATGAACGATCACATACATTGCTATGGGGACAGTTCATGCAACCGCGCGATCCGAACAGACCTGCCCGAACTGCTCCTTGCACTGAGATCGTGCTGATCCACAACCGCCCTGGTGTGAATGGGCTTTAAAAGGTGTGTTTGTTGATATTTTAAAGATATGGGTAAAGTTTCTCTTAAGTGTTCTTTCCTGTAAATCTACCTGGGTGCACTTGGGGCCCCAAAATTTTAAAAAAACAAGAAAAACAATATCATGTGTCTTTTGGTGCTAAAGTTTCTATGTCAGGTTCACTATCTGTCTGGTAGTTATTCATTAGAGGAGACAATTCCCTTTACTTGCAAGTCCTCTCTGCCAAGCACATAAATGATGCAATTAAGTCTCCTGCAAAAATAAACACTGATTTAGTGAATCCTTATAAACCAGTTACTGAAATGAGTATAAAAACTATCCAGACCAGCAACGCAGGTAACTTTTTGACTTAATTTGCAAAGCGCACAGACTTAGTACAAAGATAAACAGTGGTGTACAAAGTGCAGAAACCCGATGTCACTGCACTCGTGTCACCAAAAGACAAATTGCTGGATATAAATCCTTGGTTCTCAACTGGTGGGTCGTGACCCAAAAGTGGGTCACCACATGCCTTCCACTGCACAAGGTGAGAGGCTCCTCTGCCTCCCCCAGTGCAGCACTGTCAGTTCTCATACCGAGCAGCCATTCAGAATATGTTGCCTGGTGCCGAGTGTCAGTTTGAGGTGGGATGGGGCTATGGCCGCGAGGGAGCTTCACCCATACATGCATTGCTTACAGCTCCCTCATGTGCCTTGTAGAAGTGCCTGGACTGGAGTGACATCACATTCTGGCTCCCGGCACCTCTACAGGGCGCACAAATGAGCGGTACAAGCAATGCACATATGGATGGAGCTCCGTCACAGCACAACAGCCCACACTGGACACCAGGCTGAGGATCCACTCCAGTTCTTCTAAGATAGGGAGACTGGGGGGGGATCTTAAAAAAAGAAAACTCATTATTTTTGGAGTGTATATAAAAGGTCTGTGAGATTGTGTCTATGGTTGTGCTTGTCATTCAATGTTTTTGACGGCCTATTCAAAAAAGTACAGGGATTAACACACTGTACCGCGCAATCACACCTACCGCGTATTCTGGTGTGGGAAGCTCGTTGCATTGCCATTCATTTGAATGGCACCCAAAAACGCACCTCCCACCCACACTTCGTAAGCCCGCACCGGAACAATGGCATGCTTTCCATTGCAGTGTGACTGGGTCACCACTGACCGAGCACAAATGTGGGTCCTGAGGTTACACAGGTTGAGAACCACTGATATAAATTATTGCACTTCTCTCTCTATACTAGTAAAATGAAGTCATAATTATAAAAGGGGTAAATTAAAAAGTATTCATAAACAAGTGAGTATTGTTCTAGGGCTGCAACAACTAATCGACATAATCGATTATTGAAAAAGTTGTCAACTTTTTCAATAATCGATTAATCGGCTTCCGATCAGTTGGCCCTGTTCACGGCTCCACACACGCTGCGCGCCGCACCTTTTCCCCACCTCACGCTCTCCGCTGCCAGACCCGCCCGCATCCACACCGCACCTCCTCCCCGCCCGCCCACATCCACGATTGGCACAGGGACGCGGGGAGATGTAGTAAGGAGGAGCAGGTGTGGGGGGATGACAGCCGCTGATAGACAGGTCCGATCTCAGAAGCAAGTTGCTGGAAGACTGCTCAGGTAAGCCTGCACTTCCCACACATGGTGCTCTGTAATGTATTGCTGGGATTTGTATTCCTCTATAGCTTATGGTACATTGTGCTGTATATTATACATAGGAATACACATCCAGCAATACATTATACACTGTATGTATAATGTATTGCTGGGATTTGTTGTATTCCTATATAGCTGGTGATATTCTGCACTGCACTGTATAGAGGACTACAAATCCCAGCAATAGTACATTATACAGCGCAATGCAGAATACCACCAGCTATAATGTACTATTGCTGGGATTTGTTGTAGTCCTCTATAGCTGGTGATATTCTGCATTGCGCTGTATAATGTACTATTGCTGGGATTTGTAGTCCTCTATAGCCGGTGCAATTCTGCATTCATTGCTGTATAATTTTACACTTTCCTTTTCACTATATTGCACACCACACTATTTTTTTCCACCGCTCCAAGCTTGCTCCTGTGATGGACTACAATCTCAATACAAACTAGTAGTCCCATCACTGGAGCCATTTTTAATTTTTTTTTTATTGTTTATCCGATTAATCCAAATTAATAATCGGCTAACTAATCGATTTTGAAAATAATCGTTAGCTGCAGCTCTATATTGTTCACCATTTTCCACCACCTAAAATGTCTTTTTTTTTTGCTGGTCTCATCCTTTGTCTGTTTTGCACATGAAAATTCATAAATGCAAAAATAATAATTGTAGTCACCCCAGTACTCTAAATGATGGTTTGTAATGTATGTATGTATGTATGTATGTATGTATGTATGTATGTATGTATGTATGTATGTATGTATGTATGTATGTATGTATGTATGTATGTATGTAT